AATATATATACTTTGTGGGGTCTGCCACGCCTCCTTCTGCCTGTTACATACATTTTAACAAAACCATTATACCCTGATTTCCCATTTTCAATGGGTTCAGGGTATAAATATATATAGTAAAATATAGTGATTTAAGAAATACAATATAATTTAGATTAAAATAACTTATTTTCAGTGCTTTTTAAAAATATAGTACAAAAATATTTGTACTCTAATAAAAATAAAAAAATAAAAGAAAAGAAAATACTGAAAATAAATTATCCAAATACTATTTATATTGTATTAATAAAACATTGATTTAAAAAAAAAAAAAAATATTTAAAATAAATCTACTTTTTTATATTAATATCAATAAGTATAATAAAAGTTACTCAAATATTATTTTTGTAAAATGAATGAAAAATAAATAAAATAAAATAGGTAAATTAACTTGTAAATTCCAGTAAATAAAATATTTACACATTGACTTGAATAATTAAAAAAAAAATTAATAATAAATTTTAAATATTTTTTAAGACAAGTTTTTAATATGTACAAAAAATGTTTAATCATTTACTGAATTATTAGCAATCATTGATTTCTTTTTAGATTTAAGTAAATGAAATATATAAAAATACATACTCAATTAATTTTTTAATTATGTTTAAAAAAATAACATAAATATTTTTTTTTAATTGTATAAAATTAGCTTCAATTTATAAATTTAAAATAATATTTTTTTTTTTAAATATTATATAACATGAAAACAGCTTGCAACAAACTTCCGTAAAAAAATATTAGAAAATTGTATGTGAAACTTGGAAAGAAAATTGCCAAAGATCAAGCCAAGTTGGAGTGGGGAAAGAAGCGAGGAAATTCGTTGGGAACTAAGACAATTAACTGAACATCATCGGGCCCTGAGCATAGCAGCGAGCGTACGAATCGAGTGTGTATACCTTGAGAGCAGCTCACCTGCCTAATACAAATACTCTCTCAAACGCACACTGAGACACACGCATTGCTGTATCTGTGGAACTCATGGAGCTCGTAGGGAGTTTGAGAAAGATTCTATACGCCGCTCAAGCGATCCACTTGGATGACATAGTGCTAGCTGCATACACGCTATACTATATACATATATACATATGTATGTATGTATGTAGATATGCGAGTGATGTTTAACACAAAGTATGCACTCATTATATAATGCAATGCAAGAGAGCAACAAAAAAAAGCAGTTTTCAGGTCTGATGTTTCCCATCTCATTGACACACTTTGCGAATATTTCATAAACATAAATATAAATCATAAATAATAAATAATAAATAATTATTAGTTATCCAGTTGGAAATGCTTGCATGTAAGTTACTATGTGAGTTTTTGAAGCACAGAAAAAAAACAAAAACAAAAACAAAAATACAACAAACACACACTCACACACATACACGTCAAAAAAAAAGGAAGGTGTTTGCAAAACGCGACTAAAAGCCCAATCACATGCAATGGATGTGAGCCGAGTTGAATGCCCAAATGGATAAATATGCAATGCTCACTTTAGCCGATATGCACTGTACTCTACTGAACGTTAGCTAAATCGTAGATCGTCTATGCATACACATATACATACATATGCATGAGCATCAAGCCGTAAACAACAGAATTTCGCAACGGTATTGCGGGACGAGCTTCTCTTGTCTCAAATTTTGTAAAGATTTTTGTTATTTGCGTCGCGATTCGATGTTTATTTATTTATGTTTTCAATGTTTCGCTCTTGTTGTTCGTTCGTTATTATAATTTAAATTTTTTTCTAGTTTTTTTTTTTTTTTTGTGAATTCTTTGCAAGCGGCCAATAATATTTTGTCCGGGCCCGAACGCGCTCTAGTAGATTACCTGCTTGCGACTGTTGCGTTCGTTTGCCATTTGACGGCTACGAGCGAGCGTTTGGCGCTGCTCCACACACAGCGTCGGCCATTTCCGCTCCCGCTCCCGTTCCCGCTCCCGCTTCAGCTCAGCTCAGCTCAGCTTGGCTGCCACTTTTAACCATGTTGGCTTACCAACATTTGAGCTTTGCCCACGTATGTATCTGTATCTCTCTGTGCGTGCGTGTGTGTGTGTGTGTGTGTGTATCTAGTTGCTTCTCTGCTTGCCTGGGTGTGTGTGTGTTTGTGTGTGTGAATTAATCATTGCGAGTTGCGACTCTCAGTCGCTCTCTGCTCAGCGACGCGGTTTTTGACTTGTTCGCCAGCTCAACTCCCGTCTGTCCACCCCTGTGCCCCCTCGCCTACGGCTAGCACGCCTCTGGCCCCTGTTGCGCCCTTGGCCCAGCGGAGCGCAACGAATTTTTATAGCCAGAACCAGCTAAAAGTTAAAGCGGCCTTCGTCCCCCCAGCACTCCCCCGCCTCTCAGCCGCCTCTATCTAAACAGTTGCGATCAGCTAGCCGCGAGTCTCCGGCCAGCGAGTCTGAGCTCAGCTCAGCTCAGCTCGGCTCGGCTCGGCTCGGTAGGGTTGGGTATCTCGGCACCAGCATCGGATTCAGTATCTGTACAAGTTTCTCTCGGCATGTTGCCAAACCTGTTATGTTCGCTATAATAATTGCGTTGGCACCGTCTCATGCACCGTCTCTGGCTCTGTTTATGTATTTCTCAGCCGTGTGCTGAGAGCTTGACTACAAAAGAGCTGGCAATCGACTGTTGTTTGGCGGTGAGCGCCACGTTGATAAGTTTTCCTTCTCATTGAGCACAGACAATGCGCACAGACATAGACACAATTAACGACGATGCTCTACTCAGCTCAGCTCCGCTCAGCCCAGCTCGGCTCTCAAAAAGGTTTTGTTCGCGATGACTAAAATTTGATTTTAATGACAACATTTCTCCAGCTCACAGCTCACAGCTCACCAGCTCGATTCTGTTTTGAGTCATAGGCATATTTCTTAGAAAACCCACATACCCAGTTTCGCACATTGCATTCCTCGAACATGAAACGAAAACATCTCTGATCCTATAATGTAAATTCTTGGCGTATTATTTTCTACATGCTCACACGCCTATTCAGAGCTACATTTTTCATAGCATTAAAGTCTTAATTCTGAAGAGTTTAATCCGATTGTGTGGCAGGAAAGTTGCTGACAAGCTGCTTTAATACTCATGCACGAAATGGGTATTTTGGCTTTTGTATGTACATATGTATGTTCTGATTATCCTAAATACTAATGCTCTCTCTCTCTCTATCTCTCGATCAGTATTACGATAACATTCTATATATTACACCAATTTGAATCTAAAAGCCTCTTTTCGATTTAAGAGTTTTCCCAAATAATTATTCTTCCGCTGTGTGAAAGCAGAAGACCCCATAGACTCAAGTACGCATAATTTCAAAAATTAGGACTCGAAAGAGTATTGTACAATTCAATGCATTCGAATGCTGTGTTCTGTCATATTGTATTTCTTACTTGTACTACTTACATATATATATTTAGTAAATATATCAGATGAGATGCAAAGATTTTAGACAGAGAAGTGGAACTATTTTTGGTTTACAAATTGCGTGACAATTTAACATTGAAAATTGTCACCTAATTGAATAATGTTTCTATCTATAGCGATTTTGTTGTAAGACTAATTTGCTATGGCAAAACACAATGCATTACGTAACTTTCATACGTATAGAATTAGCATATTTTCTCTCTATATGAGTGCACAATGTTTTAAAGATCTCATTGATGATTAATATTTAGATTCAATAAGAGCTATAGTGAGACTCCTCAACTTGATTCTTTTCTTGTAGCTCCACTCTTTCAATGTGAGATCTATAGTTCAAGTTGCTATAATTAACATCCAGCAGAGCCTATTATATTTTAGTAAACTGAAAATTCGATTGATAGTCATAGTTTGTAGATCGTGTAGAGTAACACTTCGGAACGGAATCCCAGCTACTGTACGACTAAAATTATCCATTTAACCAATCTATATAAATTGAACAAAGTTTCAAAATTCGGAAGGTAGTCTAGCTATATTATGGGAGCAGCTCTCTATATTCGTTGGATTTCGTTTCTGACTACCATCAAAAGAGGTAAGCCTAGCGCACTTCTTAACGGTACAAAACTCTATCAAATCTGTTTTGACATTAATTACAGAAGATTTTTGAAAGTACTCATTTTAACCGCTTCTAATACTATTAAAAATCAAGATATCTCCGTACTTCATGTTATATTATATACACATATGCATGTATATATAATATTTATTACACATGATATCACAATAATACATTTAACATTGAGTATAAAATTATATATATGTATTGTATATATGACATCGCGTAGATCTTTAAATAGTATTTTACACTTTCGCAAAGCTAATTAAAATTCGCTATTAAATATAATCGAATATTATTAATGTATTTCGGAAAAGAATAACAATCCTATTGGATTCCCATATCTTACAAACCAAACTTGTGGGGTGCTTAGATTTTTGTTGTATATAGATTTTTATTTTATTAGGTCACTTCAGCTGATCCTGTAAGTCCCATTGTTGAAACGCTTTAACTATATAAGATATTTTGACATGATCACAGACTAGGATTTAACTCTGCCTATTTCCGTACAGTTCATAAATAATAATCTAACGGATGTCGGCGAATTTCTTTAAATAAACGAATTTAATAAAATGATTAAAAACATTACAGTAAATGGGTTTTTCTATAGATAACGATGCACTTATTTCAATTCTTCCCAGCCGATCACCAATCGTCCTCAGCTTCCTGTGATATCTCTAGGCGAAAGCTGGTGACAAAATCTTCCAATTTGCGACGACAGTTCCTGCTCAGTGGATTATTGCGTAGATCTACCACTGTCAGGCAATCACTGCTGATTGCTTCGTCCGTGTCGATCTCTGAAATGGAGGATCGATAGAAATGCTTATTGGGCTCAATCAACAAATGGGTCTCAGTACTTACCCAAAATGGCATTATGTTGAGCATCCAAACTGGCTAGCTTCTGAAGCTTAAAGACGACTTGAGGTAATACAATAAACGAATTATGCGAGATATTTAAGTTGGTTAAAGCACTCAGAGTGGCAAATTCGTCTGGCAGCTTTGACAACTGATTATATGAGAGATTGAGATCTGAAAATGTCATTAATCGAAATGCATTATAAGCTGGCATTACATAGAGGCTTATATTAATAATCACCTGTAATTGCGCTAAACTTCAGCGCAAACTTTGGCGTCACCTTCTTCAGCACATTGCCACTAAGGTTACAAGTTTGTAGCTCTGTATTCCGCATCAAGTGATACACTGCATCTGGTATTTGCATGAGTTCACATTCTGATAGATCTGAAAAACAGAGTTGAGGATACATTAATGTAGTGGATATACTATGGATACTATATATGCATATTATAGAAAAAAATCGATCGTAGTAATTGAATAAAAGTTGAGATAAAGTTTTAAGAGATTTTGGTATTCTACAGTCAGTTATTAACTAAACAATGTCAACTCGCTGCATTCTCCAGTCAGGCATTTTCAATAAAATCATTGACAAAGATAACAACAGTGATGACTCACGGCCAGGTTTTCTCATAATTCCGGTACCCCTTAATCAGTCATTATCGAAGAAAATAACTACAACAACATTCTAGTCGGGCATTCTCAACTCAACCCAAAGTTTTAGAGTATGTTATAGTAAAGCATTTTCAAATTTGTAGATTGAATTGGGAGGATATTCACATTTAGTCAGACATTCTTGTATAGATTATCGACACATAAAGGAATAGGGTATCCCATAGTCAGTCATTGTCAAATACTAGAAATAACAACAATGACAACTCAAGGTAGATCTTTAGTGAAGCATTTTCAAGGAGAATTACAATGTATCAACATTTTGGATTATCTGTAGACATTTTTATATGGAACATTTATATTGTTCAATCTTTATATAATGTATACCAATACATTGTATGTGTATCATTGTATCTATGTAAATACATTTGTATTTATTTTAATGTATTGCCTACAGATTGAGAACTATTTATGACACATTCATACACACACGCACTTTTACACAAATGCCAGAACATACACATGCACATATACGGATGTATGACTATATACGTATACACATTTATATCTATATTTATATTATTATATGAAGGTCAAACCTTACCTAAATGTGCACTTTCTTTTGCATTTTCGCACCGCTCAATTACTTGAACCACCAAGTGCGCCATTTCCGTACCATATGCTCCAAAGGCGTATATGCATATACATGTGTGTGTGTGTGTGTTGCACTGCTCGCACGCTTGCCACTGCTCTGCACTATACTGCCTATGCGAATACGATTGAATAATAAATGCGGCAAGATCTTATGAAGTGAGTATTCGTGCGAAGACGCGTATGTGTATGCGCACGCATGTGTCGGCGGTGAGCAGCCGATAGCTGCGCCACTAGCCGTAAGCTAATTTATCCGCAACCGAAGAAGAGCACCTAACGCCCCACACTCTTGCCAAGCACTAAAAATGTTTGATATTTCTTTATATCAGCTCAGCGCAGGTCGAGTGACTCCAAGAGAGTGAGGAAGACAGAGAGCAAGAGAGCGAGCGAGAGACTGAATGAGAGCGAGCGCATAACATTTCAAATAATTAAAAGAAGAAACTAGCAAAAACTCAGAGAATAGCGAAAACATAATTAGACGCGCAACAAAGCAACAAGTGCTGCCGCTTAGTGAACAAAAAAAGCTAACTTGGCTTTTTTTTTACAGAAACAGCTGTAGAACAAACTTGTTAGATATTATTTACTATAATTAATTGCTATGTATATATTGCTTATTTACTAAATGCAATTAAGCAATAAATACAACAAAGTTTCGCCCAGGTTCGATACAATTGAAAAGCAAAGCCGAGGCTAGAATAATTAAATACAAATACATATAGTAGTAAGTAAGTAAGTAGTAAGCAGTGAAAGTAGAATTGCATTAGCATGGAAGAGTATTAGTATATTATATAAGCAGGGACAAAGCTGACATTTTCGCTTATCGAAATGAAAACACAAATTTAGCGAGAAAAAAGCGAGCATACCAGCACTGAGCAGCGACCTTAGATTTTTGCTCTCTCTTTCCTGCTCTCTCTTCCGTGCACTGAACTAAATAAGTTTCGCATAAAAACAAATGATGACCCATAAATGAATGGGTCATTCCACCACGAATTTGCTGTTTGCATTGTGGCCCTATTGCCCTCCTTGCCAATGAAACTGTTATGGTTTAAATTATTGCGCTCTCCTCTGCTATGGTAAACAATCCAAGTGCAATCCATATGGCAATTACAAAAGCAAAGCTCAAGCTAAATATTCTCTGTGTACACTCGTGATGTGCACACGAGCGAGTTGCATGTGAGTGTGTGCATGTGTGTGTGTGCGTGTGTATAAATAACAATGTGTTTCTTCTAGTGCAGTCATTAGGTTTATAGCTTTGTTGTGGTATTTAGCTACTGCAGACACCACCTACCGGCAGTTTTGTGTAGGGTTTTGAGAGTGATCATTGTGATTCACACTTCTTATCGCAAATACATTTTGCCGTTACATACTACATACATGCATACATGTATGTACATACACATAACATTTCTATTATCATGACTTATCAATAGAAATACTATTTACGTATCCATATAAGGTACAGAGATATTGCCAAATCAAATTGATAAGACTTTATGACTGAGTAAAAAGTGGGCTAATGTATGACACACACGCATACAGACATACATACATACATATGTACATATGTATATGGCCAACTTCAAGAAGTAATTTAAATAAAGAAAGAAATTAATGTCATTCATATAATATATATTATTGTATATATAGTATATATTATATACCCATATTCATATATAGATACATATATTCACATCTATCTAAGAGCATTTAACCTTCGTCGTGTCCACATTTCTTGTCGTTAATTATTATTAATTTGAATAAATAAGTAAACGTCTTGGGGGGGAAATAATGTAATGCGTATTATATTCATTTAATTCGACGCACTTTCTGGACACTCAAGGCGAAAACCAGACCAGTATTATTGAGATATTTTACATATTGTATCTATCTACGCATCTACTATATAGTTTATCATTCTAACAAAACTCAGTGCGCAATAACTGAAATTGGCTCTTGGCCAGTTTTCGATCTGTTTTCAGAGGAAAAATGTGTTCATATATTTTTACAAATTAACAATAATGTGTAACGACTAGAGTTGGTCGTACATTTACATGTCGTACGAGCGGGACTTTGTATCTTGCTTGATACTATTCAAATATTTTTTGGGATAGGTTATTTGGCCTTTCGGACAATTTTTGCAGTATATATTGAGAGAAATTTGAAATATTGAATACAGTTAACATGATGTTACATTTTATAAAGATGAATGAGACTCTCCTTGTTTGATTGATCAGCCCCAATAATCAGTGTATTAGTAATGTAGAGAGTGTATAAATTCCATTTCTCTGTATTAATATCCAATTCTTGCTGTACACAAAATATATCAACGAAGCCAAATAGGAAATTTATCCCATATTCCAAGGGCATGGCGATTCGAAATACCATTCCTTATTGTACTTGGTAGCCCCAACTAATATGACTGACCCAAGGCCGCGTGGTCATGGATCTTACCTAGCTTGTGATTTTCCTTGGCGTCCTCGCAGCGTCGCACCACTCGTATCACTCCGCGTCCGGCGATTGGCGAGAATGTGACAATGCCACCGATTCTGGCTATGTGTGGGGGTATGCGTGGATCTGTCTCTGTGTCCAGGCCCAGCTCATTTGTGGCCGAAGGATTGGGGTCTGACTCGACGTTGTCTCTGTTGATGGGGCTGTTCCCATTACCATTAACGTTGCCATTGTTATTGCCATTGCCATTGCCATTTGATCGATCGTCACCATTGCCGGCTCCATTGTTATTGGAGATGTTTGTAATATCGTTGCCGAACGGGCGCATTATTCAATTTTAGAGATTCTCCCGATGCTTTTTAGTCAGCAGTGCGATTGTTTCTGAATTGGTCTATTGCCACCAGAACACAAGTGTACAAATTCTCGATTCTACCGCACTTTAACTTCAAATTTAAAAAAAAAAAAAATAGTGTAGAAAAAAACACACGGCGAATCAATTTAACATTTATTATTATTATTTATAGTTGTATTACGAACAATTCATTCGATTGCATTACAGAAAACAGCTTTGAATTAAAATCGCGATCGCCAACTGAACGTCACTCTCTTGCGCATTGAAATATTGAAAATTCGTTTTACTTTCGGTTTTTATAGCACGGAAGAAGAAAGAAAAACTGCGCACAACAAACAAATGGAAAATAAAATAAAATGGCAAGAAAACCAACAGATCTGCCCGACAGCAAACATTCTATACCCTTTCGCACAGCGAGAGACTGAAGAGTGCATATAAAGATAGGTAAACCCATCGATATACGTACGTATATAGAGTAACATATTCATAAATGCATATGTATGCGTGTGTGTATGTGTATATGGGTGCCAATCTTAGTGCAACACTTGTGGGAATATTATATGTATATACATATATCTATAAAGATACACTATATACATATATATAGACTTTTAGAAACTGCTTTACTTAATCAGAAATCATAGAAATTGTGCTTCATACAAATATATCAAATTCATTATCTATTCGATTCATTTTCTGTTACATAAATAGTGCTGTGGCATTGCTACTCGTGCGCGGTTAGGGTATTATATGGCAAGCTACAAAATCTTGTCTTGTCATCGTAAGAGCAATACCCCCAGTTATAAACAGTCTTTCTCTTGGTCTGCTCGGTTCTGACAACGGAAAAGTGTAAGAGTTCAACACGATCGAGAGAAACATAGAGCTAACTAGAGAGTGAGGGAGAGAGCGAGAGCGAATGAGAGAGAGAGGAAATGAATCAATGCGAAATTGATGCGTATTCGTTCAAAATATACCCATATATATATGAATATATATTTGTATATATAGAACGTAGTTCTGACGCATAAATTGCGATGTTTGGATAACGGAACTATTGTATACATTTTCCGCACACTTGCCAATTGTCATTACATATATGTATGTATGTAAGAGTGTATATGCATGAATTTACACATATACATAAGTATATATATAATATATATATAATTGCCTACGGATACTTTATCTTTACCCAAGAACAATAAGCAGAGATTGTGGGAATACTTACAATCACATATTGTATAAACATATTGAAAGCCTTGTGGGCATGTTGCAACGGCATATCTTTATCAGATATGCATGTACATAGGTTTGATATCAATACAATAATCAAAAATCTGTAAAATTGTCATTTTAAGGGTAAATAAGGTAGCCAAAATTAAGTACTTGAGATTAATGAATATACAAGAAAATAATATATTTATGTAATTACAATTCTTATTTTGATCCGATTCCAATTTATGAATATGCCAATCCTTCCTTAAATCTCTATAAATATAAGAATAAAAATATATATTAGGAATACAAATCTATATACAAATTAACCAATAAATAATGCGTTACACGCTTTATGATGAAATTAGTACACTCACTCTGTGTTAGGGTATTCCCAACGAGCTTTACAGCTTTTGTGCTTTAGCATTTGTAAACGTTTTCCTCAATAAGCTTACACGCAATATATTATTAGATGTTTATACACGATACCCACTGAAAGTGTGTATGGCAAAGTAGGGTCTACCCTGCTTGTGCTAGTGAACAAAATGCTAGCACATTGATTCATCCCTTAATATTATCGTGCCAGACTTACGAAGTAGATATTACCTAAAACTATATAGCTCACTAAATACATTGGGGATATCTCGTATAATCTATGCATATATCTATGCATGTCTGCAAAAATTTCTCGTCGTAGCTGGTATCCCAGAGGTGTACATATAGAACCGATTCTTGTGCACTCTGGGAGGTCTTCGGCACTCGGTCTCTCAAATAGCTGCTGACGATGCCTATGTATATAATAATAATTATAACAGGTAAGAAAACTCTAGAGGAAATTGATTGACAGACGAGATTGACTTAGGAATATACTTTATGGGGTCTGCTAGGCCTTCTTCTGCTTGTTAAAGAAAACCTTTACACCTTGATTTCCCCATTCTCAGTGGGTTCAAGGTATACAAATGAAATGAATTGACGCAGATTTGTAGTACTTTAAAAAAACTCATTTACTTCGATCAAAGTTGAAAATAATTATGTATAATTCAATATCTCTTATATACTCAATGAAATTGTATTAATTTGACAAGATTTCTAACACACAAATACATAGTTTGCCTGTTTTTTTTTTGTTTTTTTTTTTTTTTTTCTGTTGATTTTGGTTTTATCGGAACAATTGTCTTAAGAGTAAGTTAAGTGCCGTAACACAATTAAAAAATGCCCATAGGTTCACTAACACATTTACAGTCAAATACATAACAAATATTAATAATATGTAATTCGGGATGCCCGGATGCATCGGATTACTGCATTACCGAGCCCTGCGCATGCTGTAGACCCGTGCACAAGTAGAGCATGATGATGCTTAAGGCCTGGACTCGTTCCTCGGACTTGACTTTCGTTGTGGCCATCGATTTCCATGGCGACTCCGACTCCAGCCTGTGTGTAGTCGCCTTTTCCCCATAGCTTAGCAACGTGTAGCCCTTCGTTTCCGCATCCAATGCGCCCTTCAGTTTGGTTAGCTTCAATTGAAAAACGAATCGGTTATTGGGATTGACTGAGACAAGTCGGGCTGGGACTGACCAGCTCGTTTATTTTGGTAACCCTCTCGCTGGGCGGTACGTCCGCGTAGAGCAGCTTGCTCTCGCTCTTGGCCAGATTCATCAGATCTTCGTTGCGGGAATGTCCAATGATGGGTTCTGTGATCAGCATCACCTGCTCGAAGCTCAGTGCTGAGCACTCCACGGGTAGGGTCTCTAAATGCTGTGTGACCCTTGCAAAGGGATTGGAGCTACTCTCCTCTGATATCGATGGTTTTCTGAACCGCAAGGGAATCAAATTGTTGTTCGATTAGCACTGGACGTAGAGTATATATGGGTATAAGGTACACTCACCGCGATGGCGTATGCTGGGGACTTGGAGGCAAACTTTTGGAATTCATTTGCGAGCTATTGCCGGAAAGGGACGAGACTATGCCGGGTATGTCTAGGTTGCTAGCTTGCCGCTTTATACCCTGTGTCAGCATGCCCGTCAAACTGGGCCGGTGAGTATCCAGATTGGCTTGCGGCATCTGCTCGGCGATCTCCTCCGCTGGCAGCGAGCCTCCCGCAACGTCCACATACTCGGGCTGGGTGATTGTAAACTCGGGCTTGTTGACCGCCATCGACAGTGTTGAGGGGGTGTTCGGTATCGACCCACCGTAGTCCACTGGGCCGCACACCGTGGCGCTCTGGCACTTTGCGATGCACTTCTTGTGGCAGCACATGGTGCAGTCCTTGCACTGCATGGCGTCCTTCAGCCAGATCTTCTTGCCGCAGAAGTCACACTGCGTGGCACGTTGAAAGTGCGTGCGTATGAAGTTGTGAGCCTTCGATGCTGACGTTGCACTACCAACGCCGGACACGGAACCATCGCTGGAAACGTTGGACGACCTCACTGACGCTGTTTCTGCGCTGTTCTCCTCCTGCTGCCGCTCGCTGGCCGTTGATTGGCTTTACCGACAAAGGTCAAATTTGTACACCCATTTCATAGTCAATATCAATATATGCATGTACCTGGCCGTCGATGTGGACTTTGGGGTGTTCTTTGCCGTGTTCTCGTTGGCGGTCGCATTGGGATTGCCATTCCAGATGAAGCCAAACAAAATGTCCCCGAAACAGAGGTTGGGATTGAAGCCGGATTGATTGGATAACGGATGGGATTTTCTACGGGCAAAGCGATATTATATTGCATGCATGGACAAGCGAGCTCCTCGATACTCACACTGGGAGAAGTGATGCCGGGTTTATGGCTATCTGCCTGAGGCATTGATTCAGACTCGTCTCACTGCACTCGACCAGTATCTGACTGACCTGCAAGTTGTAGTAGCCGAGGAGTATGCTCTCGCCGGCGCACTTGCCAAACACGGACACATTCAGATAGCGACTATTGGCGTCCAGCTGAAAGTTGGACAGGTCATCCATGTGGATTAGGGGGCTGAAGGGGCAGTCGATGGTCGAGTGCTGATAGAAATAGTTGACTTCCTCCAGTGGCTTGTCGCTGGCGGTGGCGCACTTGTCATCGGATTGACTGGGATGGGGCAGCTTCGCCGGCGTCTCTTCCGACTTGGGTTTGTCCTTCTCCTTTTGACTGTCGCCGCTCTCCCGGCTGATCGTCTTCTTGATGGCCTTCGCAATGATGTTCGACTTCTTGGGCGAGTTCGTGGGCGTGGACTCGTTCGAGTTGCGACTGAGACTGAGACTGGCCCTAGGCGCCAAGTGCTTGGGCAGTACTTCGGGCTCGTCGGGTTCGTGCTTCAGGCCTGCAGGAATGTCACACAGATCATCATATTTCTCCAGGTCCTCCAGTATGGCATCGTTGCGTATGATGCCCGGTATGATGCGCTCGATGCGCAGGCAGCAGACCGTCGACTGCAGGCTCTTTACCACCTTGGCGATCTGCTGGATGGTTGTCACCTGCTTGCCCTCGATGGACACGAGCGCATCGCCCGGCAGCAGATTGCTCTTGCAGGCGGGCGTGTTCGGCAATATCGACTCGATCTTGACCACCTGGCTGCTGCTCTGCTTGAACACAATGCCGATTTGCTGGTTCTTCGCCTTGTGTATGACCACATCCATGGAGATGAGCACGTGCCGATGGTCCTTCTGATGCACCTCAATGAACGGCACGGGCGCCAGCGTAATCGTGCAGTAGATGCTGCTGGTGCCCGGCCAGGCCATCAGCCGGGACAGCTCCGCGACGCGCACAGTCAACCCCCCATTGGGCTGTATGTCGCAGTCGGTGATCTCCTCCTCGGCCGCCCAGTGGAAGAAGGGCTTGTAGCGCAGCTTATAGTTGGGCAGGGTGTGTTTGCGTCGCACCGCCTTGCGTATCTGATTTGATATGAGGTTCGTAATGTTGGACTGCATTTGCCGGCCTTGATACTTGGACTCGATGACCAGGTTTAGCTCCGGGTCGCCCAAAAAGCTGAGCGACCAGTGGGTGTAAGGCTTCCGAGTGAACTGCAATCGTGCCATGCCCGAAAGTTGTTTAACTGTTGACGGAAAGGCATATTCAGGCATAACCCATCTATTTATATAACGAAAGAGTTTCGTGTTGGCATTACCCTTTAACATTATGGAGCCCTTCTTGCCCAGCACCATGTCCGCATCGATCGATGTCGAGAAGTTTCCGATGTAGTTGATGTCCAGCAACAAGTCCAAGTTCTCAATGCGCTGCTCAGCGTCGTCCAGCTGCACATTGTGCACCGAAAGGGATCTGATATTGGGAAACTGATCGCCCAGCTCTAGTTCCCTGATCTGAAAGGAAAACCAAACGAATTAGGACTTGACCCATTGCTGGACTCTCAGTTGATTGCACTGCACCGTCAGCTTGTCCAACAGCTTGCCCGTCGTTGTCTTTGTAATAAGCTCGTCCAGCTCAATGGACAGCTTCCGGTAGAACCATTTGCGGACACGGTTCGAGTTCTTGAACTCGTGGAACAGGAACTGCATAACGAAGTTCAACGATATCAGCGTCGAAGAGCCGTGATCGTTATTCGGATGCATCTCACAGCCAGCGCCATCAGTTTGCGTCGTATTCAAGTCCCGAGCTGTCTGCTTGATGTTCTAGAAGAGAGTGACGTCGTTGGTATATGTCATATATTCTGTGATCTGTAGAATCGGCTTACCAGTGGCAGGGTGTACTTGGCATTCATTTGCTTCTGCTCCTCGCTCTCGTCCGGCAAGTTGGAGAATTTGATGAAGAGCAAATATTGAAGAAGTATCATAATCACTCCGCCGATTAGCAGGAATATCAGGCAGAGCAGCAACACATTCGAAATGGGTATCTCCATATTGGGACTATTGTCAGAGCCACAACTCCTTAGGCCGAAGAATTATGTTTATTTGCTTTGTTTGCTTGCTTGAAATCAGCTAGCAGTCCTCTCAGCTATACCTGGTTAACTGCATGTACACACAGCTGAATCGGACATCGTCGTTAATGTGTACACGGGTTGAGAATGGAGTATTGCGAGTGCTAGCTAATCACTTCATCCATTGGAGTGCCTGATATTATCCCCTTTATTTATTTGCCTTTTAGTTAGCCTAGAATCTGATATATTCCTGTCGACGTGACGTCCACACAAGGGGAGAATTCTGCTACTTTCCTAGTGTATTGCTGAATGCGCTGTTAAAAAAATCGATATCCTCTCCAAATACTGCGCATGTCCCTTGCAGTCAGCTGATTTCTATATTGTTACCAAGTTATTTTCTTCTTCGTTACAGTCCGAACAGCTGTTGAGCAGATGGGACAAGCCACAGTATTACATGACCAGAGAGCCCCTCCTCATTGCTGTAAATTGACCTCATGTCATTCCCAAAAAAAGGCAAATACTTTGAGCTTGTCGGGCCAGGTCGCTTATACATAATTAATTCATATGTCAATCAATAAAATTATGTTTTACATCTCCTTCTAATTGACTGATTATTCGTCACTCTACTCTTCATGGGGATATTTCAACTGTTTTATCCGAAAAAGGAGCGAAAGCAGAGATTTTTGTGATTTTACGAACTTAAAGTGTACCGATATGAGGTCCTGTAATGGCCCTGCTTTTTCTTTTAAACTCTGTAGAGAGAGATGAAAGGATAGAAGGAAGGGTTTGTATCCCACAGAGACAGAGGGAGTAAAAACGAAATGGTGGTGGAAGCAGAAATGCAGTGAAAGATAAAAAAAGAGAGGGAGAGAAAAAAGAATGAGAGAGAGGGAGAGATAAAGATAGAAGGGAGGGAAAAGGGCAAGAAAATGAAAGGGAGAGAGAGTCGGAGAGATAGAAGGGTGGCCGACAAAGGCTTAGGCAGAGATAAGAGAGAGGGAGACAACAGAAGATATGGTGGAGGAGGCAGTGATGAGCAGAGAGTGAGATAGTGAGAGAATTCATGATAGAAGGATGATCGGTGAAGGGTTATGCAGTGATAACATGGAAAGAATCAAGATGGTGGAAGATGCAGAAAGTCAGAGAGGGAGAGCAAATAAGATGGTAGAGAGGTCGTATGACAGATACCCAGCGAATTCATTAGATGATATCTAAGCGGCAGCAAAGGATTTTCCAAAAATTTTATCCTGAAAAAAATATTACCTATAGAAAGCGTAACTTTGTCCTCAAGATAAATCAAGTCTCGAATGAATGACGTGATGTTTGCTTTCCCGTTTCAAATTCGTAATTTCGAAAATTCTATTCGGATTATGGGTACCCATATTCTGCTGCAGCCGATATGAGCTCAGTTGCTCAAGGCTTACTCCGTGTCCATTCGCTATGTCATGTAGCTGTAGGTGATTAAAGATCTAAAAGTAATACCGTTCTCCATGACCCCACAATAAAAATAGGCTCGAATTGGAATTAAGTTTTATAATTTTCTGGCATTCATTTCGTTTAGTTTGTATTATTATGTCATTCCTTTACTTTGTGTAAAATAAGAAAGTATTAATAGGTTTTATTAACAAATTTGTTGAAGGCAGGTATTTATGTTATATGTTTGTTTGTGTATATCTTGTATATAAATTACAAGTCGTTTTTCATTTTGTTTTTTTGTTTTTTTCTTTCATAATTAATAATTATTAAATTTACTTCAGTTATCTTTTACTCTAGCGTTTCTTAATATTATATTTAATATTTAAACTGCATTACTTAGTGTACTCAGTTAAGATAATTTATATATATATATGTATATATATATATATTATATTATATATATATATATTTTTTTTTATAATTAAATTGTTTGCCTTTACCATTTTAAGTTGATCTAAATTACGATTTCTTTGACTTCATTTTTTTTGTATTTTTAATTTTTTAATATTTTTTTTTAGTTTTTTTGCATTTTTTTTGTAAAAATGAAGAGCTGTTTAGATTTAGATTTAGATTTCCCATGTGACTTTCATTCCAGACAGTTATTGAACAAGCCAAATTTACAATTATAGTAGGAAAAAAAAAACATAGCGAATCGCCTCGTAACATCATAATACACTAACGCCATCAGATGAGCAATAACATTTGGAAACAAGAAAGAGTGCTCTAGTCGGGCCTACCCGATTAGCAGATACCCTGTACCCACCCTCGAGCTGCTGTCAATTACACATACTAACTTTCCGTACATCCTATATCTACACACACACACAGACACACACACACACACACACGCATACGATCATATTTAGATACTATTTTTTTAAAGCGTCTTCCAACTATGCATCTTTTTCTTATTCTTAGCTCAATCTTTCAGAACATAGAAGCCGAATGTGTTAATAATCAAATTGCAAAAAAAAAAAGTTATATATTAACTTTAACTCTCAGTGATCCATTAGCTCTACTTTATTTTAGACTTAAAAAAAAAGTAGCACAAACATGTTTTCAGTTTATATAATAGTACATATATTATTCTCAAATTTGTTAGTCTGTGCAGACGATTGGACGGACAGACAGACGACTCAGATATTTGTCCCGCTAAGGAGAATCTACAATCTACATGCACAGGGCCAGTCTGCCCATCTAGCACATATCCCAATATAAATAGGTACAAAGCATCAGAATGAATTGGCAGAATTGTTGGTGTATTGTTCGGATTAGTCTGATTACAATTACGAAACGTTCTTCGTTTTTGGTATTTACAAAATGTGAGAGCCAAGTTCTGGAGCTTGGAAGAGTTAACCGAGCTCGAGTATGTGAAATATGCATGTTAAGATATTTAAGTACTTAAACGTATTATACTCGTACGCATGGCAAGAAGGGCATATGGACGTAGCTCTCCTAATGGGAACCCATTTATCTAGATGAATCTGAGATCTAACAACATGAGTCTAACAATTTTCTATTGAGATCTTAACTTTCTCTTCAGAAAGAAACAATGTAGAATAAACGTGACTATTAGAACTGGAAAAATTTCAACAAAATCTATGAATATAACTAGGCCAATATTACTACCAACAAATATCTGAAAACTAAATTGAAATTACAAAGTTGATTGAATACAAAAATTGAATTGTTACAATTGATTTAATAATTGATAATTTTGTACTTAATAGGTCGATTCTTATGTTTTTTTTTTTTGTCTTCCTCTTGAAATTCTTAACATTTTTTCTTTTTAACTTTCTTTTTCTTTTTTTTTTGGCATTTGGTGACTGCATGGATTTGCAGATTGTTTGTGTTTTTTATTTATTTTATGTATTTTGTATTTTTTTTTTTTTAATTTGGGCTAATTATTTTATATGAAGCCGTTAGCGAGCGAACTGTGAACTCGATAAATTGATGCCTAGCTGAATGTCCGTGCAGGAACATATCATTGTAGATATACTAAAGAGAGAGTATATATACATATACATATACATATACATATACATATACATATACATATACATAT